AAATCTTGCCACGGCAGATGGTAGAATTTGAATTCAATAAAAAATCTGGAATTAAAAGTCTAATGATGATCATGACACCATTGTTGATTGTCACAAAAAGCCATCTGGTTCTCTAATGTCCTTTAGGGAAGGGAAATCTGCCAGCCTTACCTGATCTGGCCTACATGTGAATCCAGACCCACAGCAATGTGGTTGACCCTTAACTGCCCTCTGGGCAATTAGGGATGGGGCAACACATACTGGCCTGGTCAGTGACATCCTCATCCTGTGAGTGAATAAAAAAGAAATTTCTTTTGACTACTTTGTTCATCAATTGTGAAAATATTGGAGGTGGGAATAAAAGGTTGCTCGACTGGCTGGGGTGTTTGGAGGATGTGTTTGCTCAAGTTGTAATTATACCCACTGATTTGTTGTGCTGCTTTAATTGGATCACATCCAGATGCTCACAGAAGTCAATTGTGTATGTTATTTTGTGTTTATATTTTTTACAAAAAGTATCTCAATATAAAACGTTCATTGACCTATCTTACTCTGAGAGTGTGAGTTTGAATCCTGCCTCCCAGGAAGCTCGGTTACCTCTGCTTACACTTCATCTCAATAATCTTTTCTCCAAAAACCTGGGGCAATTTATTAATACTGCTGATAATTGCAATGTGCGAAAATGAGAGTGGAACTTCTAAAAGCTTCAGAGAGAACTTGCACTTATATACCACTCAGGTCCTGAGGATGTCCCAGAATGCCTTACAGCCAACAAAGGTACTTTTGAAATGCAACCACTGTTTAGGTGGCGTTGCTGTATGCATGGCAAGATCCTAGGCATTGTTGTATCATAAATGACCATTCATCTGGATTAAGTGTTGTCACAGGGGTAACAACTGAGCATACAAATACTCTTTAAGAGAAAAGCACGTTTTAAAACTACGTTGAACTTATTGTAAATTTTATTTTAAAAATATATCTATGTGTCACTGATAGCATCCGGGGAGTTCCCATTGACAGGAAATTTAACTGGACCAGCCTTATAAATACTTTGACTACAAGAGCAGGTCAGAGGTTGTAAATCCTGCAATGTGTAACTTCCTTCCTGTCTCCCCAAACCTTGTCCACCATCTGCAAGGCATGAGTCAGGAGTGTGGTAGAATACTCCCCACCTGCCAAATTGATTCAGATCTCCTTCAGCTCAACACCATCCAGGACAAAGCAACCCGCTTGACTGGCCCCCCATGCCCCATGATGTACTGACATAGTGGTGTAAATCATCACAGCAGTTGACCAACGCCCCTTCAACAGCACCTTCCAACCTGATAGTCCCTACTGGCTAGAAAAACAAGGGCAGCGGACACATAGCTCACCCCCATTATCCACCATCCTGACTTGGAAATATATTGCTGTTTCTTCAGTGTTGCTGTGTCAAAGTCCTGGAATTCCATCCCTAATGGCACATGGACTGCAGTGGTTCAAGAAGGCAGCTCACCACCACCTTCTGGAGAGCAACTAGACATGGGCAATAAATGCTGGTTTTGTCAGTGACACCACTAAAAGAATCCTCTACAAAAAAATAAAAAGAAAAGTTCTAGGACTGGGATAAAGCTACTTCTGTTTGTCTCAATATGTATTACTCTCACAGAGTCATAGAGTCATATAGCATGGAAACAGACACTTCGGTCCAACTCGTCCATGTTGAACATAATCCCAAACTAAACTAGTCCCATCTGACTGCTGCTGGTTCACATCCCTCCAAACCTTTCCTTTTCATGTACCTATCTAAATATCTTTTAAACCTTGTAACTGTGCCTGCATCCACCACTTCCTCAGGAAGTTCATACCGCCCTCTGTGTAAAACATTTGCCCTGCATGTCCTTTTTAAACGTGTCCTCTCACCTTAAAAATATTCCCCCTTCTCATGAAATTCCCCATCCTAGGGAAAAGACACCTACCATTAACTCTATCTATACCCCTAATGATTTTATAAACCTCTATAAGGTCACCTGTCATGCTCCAGTGAAAAAAAAGTCCCAGCTTATCCAGCCTCTCCTTTCAACTCAAACTTTCCATACCTAGCAATATTCTGATAAATCTCTTCTGAACCCTCTCTAGCTTAATAAATATTCTTTCTTTCTTTCTTTTACATTGTTTCTGATTTAGTTCAAGTCTCTCTACAGAGATTGAGCTCCCATTCCAGGCTGATAACCGCAACGCCAGTAGGGAAAAGGGGTATCGCTCCATCAGAGTGTCATCTTTCCAATGAGAAATTTAACCAAAGCTCTGCTTGTTTGCTTGCACAGAGAAGTGGGAACATCCCCCCCTACCTTGTCTGCCCAAAATTTGTCCCTCCTCACAAAAATTGAATCATCAGATCATTAGCACATTGCTGCTTGCAAGAGCTTGCTGCTTGCATGTTCTATGTTACAGCTGTGACTACTCTTCAGAAGCACAACAACAAAAACGAATTACTGCAGAGGCTTGAAATCTGAAATGAAATGAGAAAAAGCTGGAGTACACTCAGCAGGTCAGACAGCATCCGTGGAGAGACAATCAGACTTTTAATGTCAGAACGGACTCTAGTAAATGACCTTGAGAAATTGTTCTCCATGGAGCAGAAAAAGTTACGAGGAGACTAATAGAGGGGTTGAAATCATGAAAGGCTTTGTGGAATTTACTGCCACAAAAGCTTGTGGAGGCCAGGTCACTGAGTATATTAAGGAAAGAGATTGATAGATATTTAGATATTAAAGGCACAAGGGGTATGGAGAGAAAGCAGGAATATGGTGTTGAGGTAGACGATCAGCCATGATTATATTGAATGGCAGAGCAGGCTCGAAGGGCTGAATGGTTGCTCCTAGTTCCAATGTTTCTATGACAATGTATACAAGGAGAAATTATTCCCAGTGGCGGACAGATTAGCAATTGAGGAAACATATTTTAATATTGAAAAAATTTCATTCGTGGACGTGGACTTTGCTAGCTGAGCCAGCATTTATCTCCCATCTCTAGTTGCTGTCATGAAAGTGGTGCTGGGATGCCTACTTGAACCACTGCAGTCCATTTAGTGTAGCAGAGCCCACAATGCTATTAAGGAGGCAGTGATCTAGTCACTAGCCTAGTAATCCAGAACACCAGGCTATCATTCTGGGGGCATGGATTCAAATCCCACCAGGCAGGTGGTGAAATATAAATTCCATGATTATCTGGATTTGAAAAGATAGTCTAATGACGACCACGTAGCCAACTCCATCTGGTTCACTAGTGTTCTTTTGGGAAAGGAAATCAGCTGGCCTTACCTGGTCTGGCCTACATGTGACTCCAGACCCACAGCAACATGGTTGACTCTTAACTGCCCTCTGGCGCAATTAGGGATGGGCAATAAATGCTGTCTTAGCCAGCGACTTGCAAATCCCATGAATGTTTTTTTTAAAAGTTCCGGAATTTTCACCCATTGACCGTGTAGGAACAGCGATATATTTCCAAGTCAGGGTGGTGAGGGGCTTGGAGGGGAACTTGCAGATGGTGGATGTATCTGCTGCCCTGGTACCTCTAGACGGTAGTGATTGTGGGCTTGGAAGGTGCTGCCTGAGGAGTCTTGGTGAATTTCTGCAGCGCATCTTGTAGATAGTAAACACTGCTGCAACTGTTCATGGGTAGTGGAGGGATTGCGTTTTTGTGGTCGTGGTGCCAATCAAGCAGGTTGCTTCTCCCTGGAAGGTGTGCAACTTCTTGAGTATTGTTGGAGCTACACCCATCCAGGCCAGTGGGGAGTATTCCATTACACTCTTGACTTGTGCCTGGAAGGTGATGGGTAGGTGCTGGGGAGATGGGAGCTGAATTATTTGCTGCAGGATTCTTAATCTCTGACCTGCCCTTGTATCTACAGTATGTATATACCTGGGTCCTCCTGGTCAATGACCCACCCAGGACATTGATAGTGAGGTATTTAAGACAAGTAGTAAGATAACTAGAGGGTAGATGAGAATATTTTTTATGATGTGAGTTGTTGTGATCTGAAATGCACTGTCTAAAAGTGCAACGGAAGCAGATTCAAGAGTAACTTTCAAAAGGAAAGTAGGGACATTGATTTGGCAGGGGAGTACACATGCTGGGCTGTGCAGGTGGAATAACTGGCCTTATTCTGCACTATGTCACGATGGTTCTGTAGAAGCAGAGGTGCCATGAAATTGCAGGCTGTTTGTGTTCATATTGGACTTTCTTTAAGGAGATCTACCAGTTGCGTTAGCCCCTTATCTGCCAGTCGCAGTTGTAAATGAGAACGGGGAACCTATCCAAACTTGGCTGTAAGGAACACACCTATCACCTTGACATTAGTTGTTGTGCTGGTGTAAGGGTATTTTTCTGCTAGATGTTTTGGTGGAAGACACCTGCACCTCTGAAATAAGTAGGTGTTTGAAGTTACCTAGCAACATGGTTGTTTATCAGCTAGTGCATGATTATGGGGTGGTTTGAGAGAACTGGCATTAGCTGCAGTGCTGTCACTATTAGTCGTGCTGACTACGGGTTTTTATTCCAGTACAGTCCGAAAGCCCTCCCCTGCATCATTCCATTGTTAAAAAGTGGCACAAATGTTTCTTTTTAAAGACGAGAACGAACAGCATATTGGCAGACGCAAGGCTTGCGATTAAAACAATTTAAGGGCGTTACTTTAAAGGAGTAGGCGTATAGGGTTTATTTCCAGGGTTGTACATGCATTTGCACCCAGCAGTGTGAAATCTGACCACCCCTGCTGCAATTTAAGTAAAGGTTCAACCCACAGGCTTTCGATCTCAAATAGTGATGGATTTTTCACGTTGGTGAGTCTCTATGGTGTGGGAGGGGGGGTGCTGTCCTGGAATGAGCAGCCAGTCTTATAAGTGGGGAGGCACTGCATTACAGGAGAAACTGGAGAACGTGGGCTGTGCCTAGGCCTCAGGAGGGACTGACTGGCAAAGGAGGATGCTGGAAAACAAAAGAGTGGGTATCAGCTCAACCTAACCCCAGGGAGCTCAAAAAAACCTGAGTAGATCTAGCAGATCACAGGGAAGTCAGTGGTGCTGTCAACATCCTTGCACTATGGCTGAGGAGGTAAGAAATATCTGGGTGAAATCTGTATAATATTTTGGCATGCATGATGGGCGTGAGAATTATTGCTGTGATTGTTTATTTGAGATTTGTTATAACATAATTAAGAAAAAAATTGCAATTATAATCAAACCTGCAAGTTTAATTTGAGATTGATTGAATCCTGCATTTTCCTACCTATTTCCAGTCCTGTTCTGTGAATGCATCAGAACACCATCTCTCTTCTTACAGATTTTATTTGACTGCAATTAAAATGATCCAATTTCAAAAGCTGCAGTGTTCAGTTTATACTGCAGAAGGTGTTTTCGTAAAGAGAAAATGTATTATTCAGCTCGGTTTCAGTAGCAATTATCTTGGAAGATGGGATGGAATGAAATCGGGAGTTGCAGTTAATACCGTACTTAACGTTAAATGATGTGTACTGGCACAAACTGTGATGACTGCATATATAGTGACATTTCAATTTGTACAAAGTATAAAGTGGACTATTGATGTGCAGTCGGAGGAACGTAAGTATAAGCTACAGAGAGGATGGACCCAACTGGTTCATGCTGGTGTTTATGCTGCCCTCCATCTCTCTTCATCTTGCCCTGGCAATGCATCCTTTCTCCGTCATGCACATCCCTGGCTTTCCCTTAAGTGCATCCGTGTTAACAGCCTCAATTACTCCCTGTGTGATGTTAAGTTCCACGTTCTGTCACTTTCCAGTGAAAGTGGTTTCTCCTGAGTTGGCGAAATGTGAGGAGAAGGAAGGGAAGTTTGTGAAATAATTGAAGCTGTTTAGCTGCTTTTTACAATCCACTTATCGAGCTTCCTTGAGTGCCTGAGCTTTGCTGAACAATTCAGGTTGGGCAGATCCCCAGTTAGATTATCCTTGTACAATGAGGTAGCAGACATCAGCAGGAGCAGAGTTACAGCTGGTAGACTTGAGTTCCCTGGATTATCAACATATTTCCAATCCTGGTTTGCAAAAGTACAGAATGTTCTGTTTCTTACTGCAGATTTGATTTGAGTGTGATTAAAACAATCTAATTTTGAAAGCTGCAGCGTTCAAGTAAAACTGTGAAAAGTATTTCTCTTTTAAATAAAAGGCAATTCAGACTAGGTTTCAATAGTAACCATCATTCAGGATGATGTTTAAATATTTTTCTGCTCCCATCTTAACTCACACCAAGACACTTTCACTTATCATAGAATCCTTGCAGTGTGGAAGCAGGCCATTTGGCCCATTGAATCCACACCAACCCTCTGGAGAGCATCCCACACGGACCCACTTCCCTACCCTATCCCTGTAACCCTGCATTTCCCATGGCCAATCCACCTAGCCTGCACATCTTTGGACTGTGGGAGGAAACTGGAGCAAACCCATGCAGACATGGGGAGAATGTGCAAACTCCACACAGACAGTTGCCTGAGGGTGGAATTGAACCTATATCCCTGGTGCTGTGAGGCAGCAGTGCTAACCACTGAGCCACTGATTATTCTCTATTGAATCCCAGCCAACAATGCCTTGATTTTAAATTTTTTATCCTTGCTTTCAGATCCCTCCGCAGGCTTGCCCTCCCTATCTCCACAGTCTCTTCCAGCTCTACAATCTTCTAAGACTGCCGCACTCTGCCAATTCTGAGATCTAGCATTTCTCATTTTTTACCAAAAATGTAGTTCATTTGTAAAACTTGCAAACCATTTTGAATTTTTTTTTATTCATTCATGGGATGTGCCAGGCCAGCATTTATTGCTTGTCTCTCATTGCTCAGAGAGGTAGTTAAGAATCAACCACATTGCTGTGGGTCTGGAGTCATATATGTGCCAGACTAGGTAAGGATGGTAGATTTGCTTCCCTAAAGGTCATTAGTAAATCAGATGGATTTTTACAAGAATCAATAGTGGTTTACATGGTTGCCATTAGGGTCGATTTTTATTCCAGAGTTTTATTGGATTCAAATTTCATCATCTGCCATGATGGGATTCGAACCTACCTCCATAGATTCTAGATTACTAGTCTAGTGATATAACCCCATGCTACTGTCTCTCCAAAAATATTATAGAAAGTGTAATAAAGTTGAACTTTTCTCTACTCAGCATGGCACACTCTGAGGTGCCCTAATACAATTGCAACGTTTTTCAAGTTCATAAATAAAATCCCAAGCACAGAGCTCCGAGGGTAAACCCCTCAAATTTAACACTAAGCAAAGGTTGGATAAAATTCAACTTCTCTCCAGCAGCACGCTCCACTGTGTGGTGCCTCTGTAGAATTTCTGTGTTCTTGATGCTCACAGTAGGTGTTTCATGTCAAAAACACAGCGCAACAGATTCCACACAGTTTCCAACCCCACAACCCACTATCGCAAAAAGGTCATGGACACCGACATTTCCCCCTTGTGCCTCTGCATCAGCTGTCCAAGTGTTGGTGCGTCCCTCATCTTTTATCTTTAACCTTTTTTAACCATTCTACTAGTGGTGGCCGTGACTTCAGCATGCCTGCTGCCTTAATCTTTGGCATTCCCTCCCTAAACTTCTCTGCCTCCTTTAAGACATTTCTTACCACCTACCTGTTTAACCATGTGTTTGGTCACCTGCCTTCATTTTTCTTATGTGGTTCGGTGCCGATTTCTGTTTGAGAGCGCTCCTGTGGAGAGCTTTTTCCTAAGTGAAAGATGCTATAGAAATATATGCTGTTGTAAACCTGTTTATTTTTATTGCTTCTGGGCTCTTTATCATTGTCTGGTGACTGGGATTGGGAGCTGGATACAGGATCAGAGCACATCAGGATCCATGGTGATATAACCTGCTGGTATTTGTTGTCCAGACTGTCAACTCGGTTCCAAGTGAATCAGAAGCCAAGATATCTTTCTTTCATTGGAAGGGTTTATTAACTACTAAATCTTAGAGCTCCTTCCGCAAGCCGGTTCTGACTGTTCATCTACCCAGTTAATTAATTAATCAATCAATTAATCCCGATCACCTTGTTAATGACTTGCTGTATTAACACAGATTTAGTCTCAACCACTTCAGTAAGATATTGAAAGTCTAGTCAATCTTGTACTCCAGAAACAGCAACCTGAGCAGGACAAAAAGTTGGAAATTTGGGGAGGGTGGCACGGTTGCAGAGGCAGAGAGAGGATCTATATTCCCAGTGAGTAATTTTTTGTGTTGGTCAATTGTGTCCAAATTCAATAAGTACCCTCACGGCATGCTCATGTGCAGAGCCTACGTATGGCAGTGCAGCCTTGTAGCCCCTATCTTCACCCCATTCCCACTTACTTCACAACAGTGGTTTATGTACCATCAGTGAAGTTATTCCTGTGACCTTTGTTTAAGGAAATAAATCAAGTTTACACAACGTAGCAGTGAATCCCACCCACTTCAACCAATGGACCATCATCAAGTGCAAGAGAAAGAGAATGTTTGTATTGTTCCTTGAAAGATCCTTGAAAGTGGTGTTGCAGGTAGACTGCTTGATGAAGAAGGTGTTTGGCACGCTTGCCTTCATTGGTCAGAACATGGAGTATAGAAGTTGGGATGTGATGTTGCAGCTGTACAGGACATTGGTTAGGCCACTTTTGGAATACTGTGTAGAATTCTGGTTGCCCTTCTATAGAATGATGTTGTTAAACTTGAGAGGATGCAGAAAAGATTCACAAGAATGTTGCCAGGGTTGGAGGGTTTCAGCTATAGGCAGAGGCTGAATAGGCTGGGGCTATTTTCCCTGGAGTGATGGAGACTGAGGGGTGACCTTATAGAGGTTTATAAAATCAGGAGGGGCATGGATAGGGTGAATAGACAAGGTCTTATTCCCAGGGTGAGGGGGGGTCCAACCCTAGAGGGCATAGGTTTAAGGTGAGAGGGGAAAGATTTAAAAGGACGAGGGGCTACTTTTTCATGCAGAGGGTGGTGCGTGTGTGAACATAGAACACAGAACAGTGCAGCACAGTACAGGCCTTTCGGCCCACAATGTTGTGCCGACCTATTATCTTACCCTAAGATCAATCTACCCTGCATACCCTACATTTTACTATCCTCCATGTGCCTATCCAAGAGTCGTTTAAACGTCCCTAATGTATCTGACTCCACTACCACTGCCGGCAGCGCATTCCACGCACCCACCATTCTCTGTGTGAAGAACCTACCTCTGACATCTCTCCTATACCTTCCTTCAATCACCTTAAAATTATGCCCCCTCGTAATAGTCATTTCCGCCCTGGGAAAAAGTCTGTGGGTATCCACTCTATCTATGCCTCTCATCATCTTGTACAGTTCTATCAAGTCACCTCTCACCCTTCTTCACTCCAATGAAAATAGCCCTAGCTCCCTCAACGTTTCCTCATAAGACCTGCCCTCCAGTCCAGGCAGCATCCTGGTAAATCTCCTCTGCACTCTCTCTAAAGCTCCCACATCTTTCCTATAATGAGGCGACCAGAACTGAACACAATATTCCAAGTGCGGTCTAACCAGGGTTTAATAGAGCTGCAGCATAACCTCACGGCTCTTAAACTCAATTCCCCTGCCAATGAAAGCGAACACACCATACGCCTTCTTTACAACCCGATCAACTTGGGTAGCAACTTTGAGGGATCTATGGACGTGAACCCCAAGATCCCTCTGTTCCTCCACACTGCTGAGAATCCTGCCATTAACCCTGTATTCTAAATTCAAATTCGATCTTCCAAAATGAAACACTTCACACTTTTCTGGGTTGAATTCTGTCTGCCACTTCTTTGCCCAGCTCTGCATCCTGTCAATGTCCCGTTGCAACCTACAACAGCCCTCCACGCTGTCCACAATTCCACCAACCTTCGTGTCATCAATCTTACTAACCCACCCTTCCACTTCCTCATCCAAGTCATTTATAAAGATCACAAACGGCAGAGGTCCCAGAACAGATCCCTGCTGAACACCACTGGTCACCAAGCTCCGGGATGAACACTTTCCATCTACTACCACCCTCTGTATTCTATTGGACAGCCAGTTTTGTATCCAGACAGCCAAATTTCCCTGAATCC